TAGCCCAGGCTGGCCTCGAACTCACAGAGATCCGCCTGGCTCTGCCTCCCGAGTGCTGGGATTAAAGGCGTGCGCCACCACCGCCCGGCTCATGACAGAATCTTAAGGCTACAAGTTGCCCATTTTACATTCCTTTGATGAGATTTCGGCTCTGGGGATAGGTTTTAATTAAGAGGGCATCACTGAAGGGAGGGAAAGATTTATCCTCGAGCCCAGGAGCCTGTGACACAACCAAAAGGTTTTCATGACTTATCTGTAAGATAACCTATTTGGGGGAGAAACACAGTATCATATTCCTTTGTAAATCAAATGCACTGATGAGTTTCTACTGTCAACTCGACACAACCTAGAGCCACTTGGAGAGGGGGCCTCAGCTAAAGTACCGCCTGGACTAGAACATCTGTTGATATGCCTGTGGAGATGGACCAGAACATCTGTTGATATGCCTGTGGAGATGGACCAGAACATCTGTTGATGTGCCTGTGGAGATGGACCAGAACATCTGTTGATGTGCCTGTGGAGATGGACCAGAACATCTGTTGATATGCCTGTGGAGGATGCCTTGGTTGTAACTAACACACCTTGTTCTACTGCAAATCTGAGAATGTACAGAGAGATGCACTGCACTTAGGATGCAAGAGAGTTTAAGAAAAAGAGACTTGGAGATTGTTGTGGAATATTATTTTAAGATGTGTTACATTTGATTATGATGTGGAACATTTGTTTAATGATGAAGAGATGTGTTGCATTCCCTTATGTTGCATTTGTTTAACTCTGTGAAGCTGTGTTACTGTGCCTGTCTAAAACACCTGATGGTCTAATAAAGAGCTGAACAGTCAATCGCAAGGCAGGAGAAAGGATGGGCAGGGCTAGTAGGCAGAGAGCATAGATAGGAGGAGAAATCTGGGAGAGGAGAAAAGAAAGAGCAAGAGAACAAGGAAAGGAGGATGCTAGGGGCCAGCCAGACCAGACTAACAGCCACAGAGTAAGAGTCAAAGTAAGACATACAGAAGAAAGAAAAGGAAAAAGCCCAGAGACAAAAGGTAGATGGATAATTTAAAATTAAGAAAAGCTGGCTAGAAACAAGACAAGCTAAGGCCGGGCATTTATAAGTAAGAATACTTATAAATGTGTGATTTATTTGGGAGCTGAGTAGCAGGCTCCCAGAAGAGCCAAAAGAGTAAAAAAAAAAAAAAAAACAAAAAAACCCAACAACAGAGATGCATGCATTTTATAACTTGGCTAGCATCAATCCAAAGGGTAAAACAGACTCTAGCCTGAGGCACTATTGTTGTACAATGGGATATAGATAATCCTTTATTCTGAATTAAAATATTTTTATGGTGAATGACTTTTATAAAGAAGATACATTCTCGGATATTTACTTATTAAGGTATTCTTGGATTTTAACTATCAAGTAGGAAAAAAGGAACAGTAGAGGGTAATAGGTAGTAATGAGATTCAAGTACATGATCTACCTGAACGAAAATGTCATTGTGAAAATAACCACTGTACAATAAACATATGTATGTTAACCAAAGAATTAAAAAACAAACTAGAAAAATACAAATATAAACTCCCTGTAACATAAACAGTATAAAGATGTGCTGTGGATAAAAACCACTTTAACGAAACAGTCATTTACCATAGTTTGAATAGGGATCTCGCTGAACCTCACAATACTCCAGTCCTGGGACGATGTCAAAAACGCTGAAGAGCTGCTCTTCTGTGAAGGGGACTCTGGACACAACCGACAGGCGTTTGGAGACCGCTTCCTGGCCTCTGCTGTCGTTCTTGTCAAAGCTCGGGAACTCAGATGGCTGTTCTCCAACTAGATACACACATATACACACACACACACACACACACATAAAAGTAAATCATTACATTCTATACATTAAAAAATTCATGTAACCATTTTGTACAAGGATATTTGAACAAAGACACTGTATTTTGTAGTATTGTTTTTAAAAATACGTTTTAAATTTATTCTTTGGGAACTTCATACATGCATACAATGCATTCTGATCACACCTCTCCCCGGTACTTTGTAGTGCTGTAGTAATCTACAACCATAAAGAACCAGTCACAAGAAAACAGGCAGCCTCACCCACTTCCTTACCAACTTCAACCCAGAACAACTGCAGGAATGTCTAGTTAAATACCACAGGAAGGAGCCGAGTATATAAAACCGTAAGATATGGCAAGGATCTTACCTGAAAACTTAAGCCCACGGCACCCAGGGACCTTGACTTCCTCACTCCCCCTCCCCCTTTTCTAGTCTCTACTTTGGCTATTCTCCTTTCTGGAAACCACACTTTAAGGTAGCAGACTGAAGGGCTGTTTGTGTAACATTTTCATACTTTTGGTTGGCTGTACAAAAGCAGAATTCACACACAGACACACAGACACACACAGACACACACACACACACACACACACACACACACATTGGAGCGACACACGTTAGTATGTAGATAACATGTAGCTAGCCAGAGAAATCTATATTGGAAATGAATTAAACAAAATAAGGGGTCAGTATTAAGGCTATTAGGAGGACTGACCAACTTCTCAGGAAAAACAAAATAAAACTACATATAAGATTTTCATTCACTAGGTGGTGAATTTTCAGGTTGCTGACAAAAGAATGCCTTGAAAATTAAATTAGATCACATGTCCTGACTATGCTACTAACATAAAGAAGAAGACAGTCCACTCACCGAAGGGAAACAGATTGACTCGAGGTTCATGCCCCAAAGTCTCCTGCCGCATGCTGCTGTAATAATCTTGTTCTGGGGACTCAGATACTTTATTTTTAGGTTCAGCCAAGAGCGCTCTAAAACCTGAAAATGAGAATCCATGAATTTTCAAGCCTCATAGTAAATTTAACACATTTGGTTTTGAGGGTCTGACCTAGTTTTAAAAATATAACTATATAAAACAATCTACGTGGTGGCCATTTCCAGCAGACCTACTTCTTTGTTTTATGGTAAAGGACAAAAAGTAAATGAGAAAATAAAAAACAAAAACAAACCAAGAACCCGCAAGTAAAGGTCAATCAATATAGACAAGAAAGGTCAGCAATGCTGTGCCACCCTCCCAAAAGATGGTATCACCCACTTGCCCAGTTTCCTTGGCATCAAAACCCCGCTGGGCACCTTCACATTTAAGCTTTTACCAACCTGCTTCCTTTATATGTACTCTGCACTCTAACTCCTCTGCCTGTTTTTAAGTTACAACCGCAGTGAATCACGACAGCTCTGTAACTGGTCCCCTTGTTCTAGATCAAGAGCTCTTACTGAGGGGGTCTAAGGATTAGCTCCAAAGAGTGGAAGAGGGTGAGGGAGAGACAGTTCAGTGGATCAAGTGCTGGCCACGCAAGCATGGGTATCTGAAGGCAGCTCGCCTACACACACACACACACACACACACACACACACACACACACACACACACACACACACACACGGCAAGCCAGTGAGCCAGACATGCCTGTAATTCCAGCACTGGGGAGGTGGGGACAGGACACCAGGCTAGCCAACTGGTGAGCTCCAGGTTTAGAGAGAACCCTCCCCGCCACCCCCCCCCCAAAAAAAAACAAGGTGGATGGGCCAGTATCTGACCCCCATGCGCACCTTCCCCAAATCCCTACACCCAATGGGGCGGTTCCACAAACCCTCCAAGACAAAATGCTTATTTATATTATGTATACAGGGTGTATTTCAAGCGTTCAGAGCATTCATATTATTCAACGACCGCAAACATGATAAATTAGCTGGCTTGGGCTCATTCAATATTACAGAGGAGCTGTGACTGTATGAGGAATTTGGAGGTGACTGAAAACAAGATATACTTCTGGTTTTCAGCCTTTAAAAATATTCTCCTATCCTTTATTTTCTAGGAATTAGATAGTCGATATAGATATAAAAGTTTTAAATGCCAGGGCTCCCAGGTACTTCAATTATATCTTCCTCTTAGCTTGCTGAGGAGCATACGACAGGGAGTCAATTAAGACTGACTCAGAAATCTACACGGACCTAAGAAGAAAACTGTGGTGTGGACTTTAGAAGCACCTAAGAATTCTGCGGATCAACAGCAACTCTTCCTGTATATACAGATTTTTATAATAGTCTAAAGCCCAATAATTTATTACACTTCTTATTTCTCAAAGTCAGCTTTATGTATAACATCAAAGTGTCCAATAATTTGTCATTATAACCTCAAATTAATTACCAACCCAAATTAATCTCACCAACCCTACCCTTAATTTGTATGTTTGTTAGTATATTAAATCCTGGTTAGGGCTTTGGCCAAACAGGAACAAATACAAAGAATAAGATTTGCTGGGCAGGGGCTGGAGAGATGGCTCAGAGGTTAAGAGCACTGGCTGCTCTTCCTGAGGTCCTGAGTTCAATTCCCAGCAACCACATGGTGGCTCACAACCATCTGTAATGAGATCTGGTGCCCTCTTCTGGCCTGCAGGCATACATGCAGGCAGAATACTATATACATAATTAATAAAAATTTTTTAAAAAAAAACAAGATTTGCTGGGCATGGTGGCATACGCTTATAAAGGCAGCAGCACTTAGGAGGCTGAGGCAGAAGGATCACAAGTTCAAGGCCAAGCTGGGCTATACAGCAAGCCTCTGTTTAAAAAAAAAATATATATTTTTAAAGCTCTAAAAGGGTAAATCACTTTTTAGTATTTTAACTTACCAAATATTTTTTAAAGCCCCAAATCTATCCAAATAACAAGGCAGGTGTGTCCTGTGCTTACATCTTGACAACATAGTCACCAAGATAGCTTCAGCACATGATTGATTCAAAGTCCAAATTGTGTTCATCCTTGAATCATATATTTATAATTCAAATATCATATATTTACTCGCTACTTATTTAACTTTAGCAAAAATCTAGTAGTAGATTTTGCTATTTATAAGAGTGAGATTCTTTTTTGAAAGGCCTTTTAGCAAGGTTAAGAAACAAACATAGCTGGAGCTGGAAGGATGGCTCAGTGGTTAGGAGCATGTGTTGCTCTTACATAGGACCTGGGTTCTGTTCCCAACACCCACACAGTGGCTCACAACCAACCACCAGTAACTCCAGTTCCGAGAGATTTGATACCGTTCTCTGGCCTCTGTGGGCACTGCATCCATGTGGCACACAGATGCACATTCAGGCACAACAACCAAACACGTAAAATAAAACTTGAAAGAAAGCCATCCTTACTTCTATCACAGTTTTCTATTGCTTGGGCGGCTTGTGATGGTTTTAAGTATCGCACGTAACCCAGACCTTTACTTTCTCCAGTGACTTTATTCTTAATAATGCTGCAATACTCGATATCGCCGTACACCTATAAAAGTTAAAAGAAATGGCCTCAGGAAACTCAAAACGAGTAACAGATACTTCGAAATTTAAATTTATACTTACTTGTGTCTCGTGCATGCAAACACAGAAATCCTTCAAGACTACACAGACATTCTACACCGCTGATTTTGCAGACAACTGAAAATCACATACCTTGCCTACACCACAGAGAAACCAAGCCAGGAGAGAAAGAACTTGTCCACATTGTCTTGCTCAGCAGAGGGGTGCGAGGGCTTTGTAACTGGGATTCTGAGATTTAAATCTTCACTCAGCCACTTAGTGACTAGGCAGGTAACTCACCTTCCCTGCGCCTGCGTCTTCAGCCGACCACACTGGACTGCCAAAGGTTAACCGGACTGATCTACGTCAGTGAAATGCTTCCACGCCCGGGAAATACCCAACACGCAGCAAGGCTAGCTGAAATTGTGTAGGTGTCTCTAACAGTACCACAAATGACTGGATGCTCTTTTGAGCAACAGTTCAGAGCGAAACACAATGGTTTACTCAGAAAATTTGTGAGAAACACACAATAGTGTTTAGTGTTGAAGACACGGGATTCTAAACTCACTGTATGTCATTGAGCATGTATTTTACAAAATTCTCTTGTAAACAACTTTATTATATACTTAGAGTACGATGTTTAATTTTTCTCTTAGAAAAAGATAGGTAAACATTTTCTTACTACTGGATGAAGTTTGGAATATAAATTTTTGGAATCTGTTACTCTTAAAAAATCAACTCTCAATGGTAGGGCAAAAGACATATGGAAATTAATTTTTCCTGCTAGCTTTTTCTTCTTGCTTATTACCCACCTCCAACTTAGTGTTAAGAGGTTAAACAGAAGAAAATACCACACACACACACATACACACACAAAACACAAAAACAACCTTAAAACATTGTTGAGTAATTTCTGTGAAAGCCTACATATAGTCATTGCAACAGGCACAAAGATTTAAAATTATCTTCAAAAAATCATTTCCTCTGATCAGTACTCAGAGCCATATTGTCTTCCCTTAAATATGACCTGTGTAGAAGTGAAATTCTAGGACAAAACCACTTGAAGGAATACCTTTTCTGTAAGTGAGTACAATGTCAACAAAGCGCCGGCCATGAGAAGTATTAGCCAACAGCTCACATGCCTGGGCCTGACTCAGGCCTGGGACTCACTCTACAGAGAGGCAAGAGAGGTGAGGACCAAGAGGTGCTTTGAAACGTCAAAGTCTGAGAGCGGGATCTGTGAGCAGAGCGTGTTTAAACCTTGGTGCCACCACCTATTAGCTGTGCAGTTTAATGAAAACACTAGCTTTTCACCTCATTTTCTCAGCCTAGACTTCACGATGAAGTCTGGGCAGAGGGGACCCTCACCATTACTGTCTGCTTGTTAGTAACTGTACAATGTTGAAAACGGAGTTATGATAAGAACACATAAGGACCTTAAATTTCTCCCGCAGGTCTTCTTCTGTATAGGACTTTGGTATCATAACAAAGATTCTTGTGAGTTCTTCATCTTCAACATCTCTGTGACTTCCTGAGGATCGGGACTGAGCAATGAAAACCTAAGAAACATACAAAGCCCTTAGAATAATGTTAACTGTATTCCTATTCCTTATGCCTACTTACTTTATAATACAGGTATACAACTCAGATTAAAATGCAATGTGGATGCCGGGCGGTGGTGGTGGTGCACGCCTTTAATCCCAGCACTCGGGAGGCAGAGCCTGGACTACCAAGTGAGTTCCAGGAAAGGCACAAAGCTACACAGAGAAACCCTGTCTCGAAAAACAAAAAAACAAAAAAAAAAACAAAAAAAAAGCAATGTGGTAGGGGTCTTATAATTTTTTTTCAAAAGCAATCTTTATTGCAGTGATTAAAAAATTATTATACCAATCTTCACACTGTTCTTTCTAAACACATTTTGACTTTTGTACTCTTTTTGTCTTGTTTTGAGACAGTGTCTATGTAATCCTGGCTATGGGAAAGCCCTGTATATAGGCCAGGCTAGCCTTGAACTCAAAGAGATCCCCAGGCCTCCGCCGCCCGAGTGCTTACTTTTGCATTTTTGACTACCAAGAGCAGGTCACTGTTTGAAAGAACACACACTTTGTAGTTTGACACAGTGTGGACTAAAGGTCCATTATATTCTTGATATCTTTCCTTGTCAACTTGTTTGGTCTGATGCTGACTGGACATAAACCAGATCACCATTCATCTTTCTCCTGGTCCTAGCGATGACTCCCCAGACTGAGGGTACAGCTCAGTGTTAGAGTGTTTTTGTCTAGTGTTTATGAAGCCAGGGGTCTGATTCCCAGAGCCCCCACCTCCCACCCCAAAATGCTGCATCTATTTCAAAGCTCTGTTATGGCTGCGTAAGCACATGGGATTGCTATATGTTCATCTTTATGAAATTATCTATTAATATTCTACATACTGAAATCTATCTTCACTGATAGGAGCTTTTTAAAAATATCTACCACACAGTATCTTTATATTTAAATCATTTTTCTTGTAAACAAAGAAAATCACTTCGTTGTGTTTTGGTTTGTTCTTGTTTTTGTTTTACAGAATCTTCTTTTGGGTGGAATGGGGACTTCCCATGTAGCCTAGGTTGGCTTTGAACTCAGGATCTGCTTGCCTGAGCTTCCTGAGTGCAGGGACAATAGTCATGTACCAACATGCCTGGCGATGATCTCCTCCTTGAGATGTTTAGTTCATTTATATTTAATGTAATTATTCATACAGCTGGGGTTAAGTCTAGACATTCTAACTGCTTTCTAACACTAATTTTAGAAAAGGGTAGCATAACCAAACCGATCTGTCTCCATGAATATCTAAATGCTTTCTCACGGAGCTGGAAAATTCACAGGAGGCCCTATTGTTCTAATATTGGCAGTTTAATTTTATTACAACATTATCAGGGAGGAGAATCTGAATCTAATTTGCTTTGTAGTACAATATTTGTTCCTCAATTTGTCTTAGTTTTTTATTTTTCCATAGGTATATTAAAATCTGTGACTAAAGCTATAGACTTGTTTATGCAGCTATAACCATAATACTCTTAATAGATAATGTCACTGTTTATAATTTGAAATGACATAGACCACCTTATACACAAGGACCCATGAGGTTTTATGCATGTATATATGTATGTGTTTCCTTTAAGGAGGGCAGCACATCACTGAAATATGAAAACCACGGACAATGAATTCTTCAGGAGGCAGAAACTCAAAGGAAACTGAATAAAAAACAGAAACATGGCATTGCACACTTTTGTTGAAGAAAGAGAACACTGGATCCAGGGACTCAAAAGTCGTTCCTTCTGCTCAGAAGACAGCTTGTTATAGAGGCAAAGAACCCTTCTTATAAGATAGAGCTAGAGACATATCCCTAGGCAGTCTATTTTCAGTCATTTCTTCAATAATGCCCGCCTTATGCCAAGAACTACTGAGGTACTGGTAGAGATGGCTAGTCTAAGTGAATCTAGTCAACACATCAGCAATGAAGGATCCAAAGGAAGACACAAGAGAAGCTTCAAGAAAACGCAAACATTAGAGAAAAAAGGGACCTCGGGCAAAATGAGATGGGAGGTGCCATCGGATCACAGATCTCTACATTTTAGAGCCTAAAGTGTTTACAATCTCTGATAAAGGACTGCATTTACACAGGACAAGAATCACCTAGTGCACACCTTGTCCTCACAGTTTAACCCCTTCCCTCTCTGATGCACAGCACCCTGGGGCAGCAGTGGCGGGAGAGACCCCATCCCACAGTGCATGAACACTCATAAACGGTATTCTTACAAAACCAAAACCAGAACTCCCCCAACTCCTGCACCGTTTTCTAGGTTGGCCCCTCTCTAGTATGTAGCATAGCTTGTCACAATATAATTTTATTTTGATAATCTTGTGGCTATAGGTTGGCACTGTAATATCCCTTGAACTTTGTAAAAACGAATTATTTGAGAAAGAAAAAAAAAAAAACACCTAAGACTAAATTATCTGCTGGCAAAGGTTAATCAAGTGTCCGAGAGCGGTGGGTCAGAAAAGTCCTAGCAATGGACAGGGAGAGGGGAGCGTCAGGTCGAGTGAGTTATGGTATGTGACAACCATGGCTGCGCAGTCCTTGCCTGTGGCTACCCAATCAGTTCCCAGGGGAAGATGCTCCTTTGGCCAGAGGGCGGGGTTCCTCTCCTCCAAACCATCCCCGACCCAAGTTAACTGGGCTGCTGGGAGCAGAGTCCAGCCCCTTTCCTACCTGATACACATCATCCCCGGTGCAGCCGAGGGGCGAAAGAGAGATCCCAACCCACACCGCCGTCGCCTCCGCTGGCAACCCCCCACCTCCCAACCCCGGGCATCCCTACCCCAGACACCCTGACCCGGCCACCTCAACCTGAGACACCCCAACTAGACACCCTTATCCCAGACACCCCAAACCGGGCATCTCTACCCCCGCACCCCCTAACCTAGGCCCCCCGGTGCCGCACCTTGATGGGCTTGGTGTCGTTGGGCCCAAGGCACTGTCCGTGCATCTCCTCCATAGCCCGGCAGGCCTGTGAGCTGCGGGCGAACTTGACGAAGGCGACGCCCTTGGACTCCTTGGTGTGTTTGTCGCGCACCACCCAGATGTCCTGGATGTCGCCGAAGGGCGAGAAGCGCTCCCTCAGCACCGATTCGGACGTGTACTTGCTGATCACTAGGAAGATGCGGCTGTTGGGCGGCTCGTCCAGGCTGTCCACACCCGGGCGGAAGCCTCCTCCGTTGCCCGCGGAGCTGCTGGCGTCGTCCATGGTACCCTACCTCGGGGACGGAGCCCGGCGCGGCGCCCTGCCGGCTCAGTCCGACCGGCCAGTCGGCAGCTCCGCTTCCGGAAGAGCCCGGAGCCGGGAGGCAGGTGCCGTCCCACCGTGAGCGAGTCCGGCTTCCGGGAGCATTCTGCAGCGCCCCCTGGCGCCACGGTGGACTCTAAACAGCCCCAAATCAGTCCCGCGGAAACCAAGAATCAGCTTGTGCAAACAGGTTTGCCCGGTGGCCAAAAAGACCCACCTGCCCCGTGCTTAAGCCTTCCCAAACTGGCTTCTGGCTTCATCTCAGCCAAGCATGTGTTGTTACAAAAAGATTACTCTTCACCCTTTTGAGAGAGAGACTGGATGTGGTGACACAAGCCTGCAATCCTAGTCTTTTAGGCAGAAGCAGATTGCTACGTTTGAGGCCTCATGGGCTACATAGAGAGTTCGAGGCCAGCATCTGGGCAACTCTCGGTCTCAAAAAGGAAACAAACAACAACAAAACCACCAACCCCCCCAAATAGGCAGACTTTACTCGTAAGGGTCCACGGGGGCGGCTACAACGGACCCCTGCAATGGGGCTTTGCAGCAAGGCATAGAGATCGACTTGGTGAAGATTTATAACAGGGCAGTGTGAAAGTCAGTAGGTGAAAAAATCACTGAAGATCAGGGGGAAGAGAGACTCTTGGTAGACCTGCTTCACAGAACGCGTGCTGCAGGCGGGCCACAGTGATAGATACGAACAGCAGTCAGACATCCTGATTTATCAGGATTTGTCCTCAAACTAGATTCCCCTAGGAGGGAGAGCTGGAGGTTGGGGATAGTCAAGTGAAAGACATTGGGGAATTTGTCCAAAGTTTTGGTGAAAACAGGGAGTCTTTGTCACCATTTTGACCATAAGCTCAATTAAGAGTCCCCGTAGACAGAGTTTGTGGTGGTTTGACTAGGAACGGCCTCCATAGGCTCATATATTTGAATGCTTGGCCATTAGGGAGTGGTGCTGCTTGAGAGGGTTGAGGAGGTGTGGCCTTATTGGAAGAAGTGTGTTACTGGGGGTGGGCTTTGGGGTTTCAGAAGCCCAAGCCAAGCCCAGTGTCTCTCTCTTCCTGCTGCCTGAGGACCTGGATGTATAAATCTCATCTCCTTCTCCAGCACCATGTCTGCCTGTGTGCAACCATGCTTCCCACCATGATGACAATGGACTAACCCTGAAACTATAAGCCAGTTCTAATTAAATGTTTTCCTTAATAAGAGTCATGGTATCTCTTCACAGCAATAGAAACCTGACTAAGACAGTTAAAACCATAGAGCCTGATGGCTGAAAGGAGCCTTTACAAGCCTGGAATCCTAGCCTCATTCTTCAGAGATGACGAACCTGAGGCCCAAAGTTAAGAGGCTCAGGTAACAGAACCAGACCCAGAGGCAACCCTCTGTTGGATCTGCTCCATTCCCACAAACACTTCCAAGAGTCAGGAGCAGAGAAAATGGTGGCTGCTCACCTGGGAACTAGGAGAAATTAGTGGACACAAGCAAAGTGGGAAATGCCCGCTGGCTTCGAGGGCTTGCAAATGAGCCTTGATGGTGAGGTCAACAGATGTCTAGAACCGAAGACTGAGTTAGCCTCTAGTAGCATTGGAATGAAATGAAAGAAAGAACCACAAAAGAGGGAAAGACTAATTAGGACTGATCCTAATTAGTCTGAACAATAAAAATCAGGAGTCAGATATTGGGGTAACAACCTGAAAGCAAAGCAGCAGCCACCAGTGACTTCTTACCTCTCTCAATCCTCGGACCAAAAGGGGCCAAGATCCTGTCTCCACCTGACTTATGTTCCTGTCTCCACCTCCCAAGTGTGCTGGGATTAAAGACGTGAGCCTCCCAAGTGCTGAGGTTAAAGGTGTGTGCCACCACTGCCTGGCTTCTATGGTTAACTAGTGGCTAACTCTGCCCTCTGATCTCTAGGCACACTTGATTTGTCAGAACATAAACAAAATATCATACATCAGTGGGATAGGAGCACAGTTCCTAAAATGCCCATATCCAGGCTGCTAAGAGCTGGACATCTATGAAGTCAAACACGTCCACATTTATCGTGCGCCAACTGTGTGCCAGAAGCTAGACACTCAATGGCAGAAGAAGAACCATCTTGTCACTGGATCCAGTAAACTTCTTGCATAGCTCCAGCTCCAGACTTTTCAACTGTAGAGTAGACATAATTAGGGAAGTTACTCATTCATTCAATTAGCTTTATTTTTTTCTAAAGATGTTTATTTATCTTTTTTTAAGTATATGAGTGTTTTTCCTGAATGTATGTCTGTGTGCCATGTACACAATACCTGTGAAGGTCAGAAGAGGGTATTGGATCCCCAGGAACTGAACTTACGTTTGTGATCTGCCATATGTATGTGTTGTGAATCGAACCTATGTCCTATGGAAGAGCATCCAGTGCTCTGGACTGCTGAGCCATCTTTCCAGCTCCTTACCATTATTTTGACACAGGGTGTCACTGTCTAGCAGAAGCTGGCCTTGAACTTTGAGTCTCTGTCTCAGCTTGCCAAATGCTTGGATTGTAGATGTATACTACCACACTTAGAAACTGATGTTTTTGACTTTTAAGTATATGTTGAATACTGTGCTAGATGCAAGAGACAAAGTAGCAAACAAGATGGCCACTTTTTATCTTCTCTCCCTGAAGTTAACAGTTTAGACTCCTGTAATGACTATATAAAGCTGATAGTTCGGGGACCAAATGAACTGACATGTGTACAAAGACACAGGAGACGTTAAATTTCTAGTTCCCCTTGACTACAGTGCCCATACCGACTTCTATATGGTGTAACTGGTGGTCTCTAAGAGTCAGGAGTTATGGGTTGTTACAATGGATTTGACACAGGGGTTACAATCATCTCTCCTTGCATTACACCCTGTATCTGCAAAGGAAGTGCTCCGTTTATCAGCAGCTCAGAAAGAACAGGAAGTAACTTGTCCTATCTTTCCACTTTGCCTTGTGGTAGAAAGACCAGTCAAGGCGAGCGAAAAGAATGGAATCACTTTATTGACCTGAGGGAGTGCAAAGATTATCAATAAGACAATTTGCACACTAGTGCCATCTAGTGGGAAGGTTTTCTTAAACCGCTATGTCTGTAAAAAGAATATTGAGTCTTATCCTGAAATTTTAAAGTTCGTATTATTTCCTTAAAGAAAGGCACTGGAAAATTATAGGAAAGACATTTTTCCTTATCACCCAAACAGGAAATATCACATATTTGGGGAAAGTTAGAAGCATGTATTTACATTACTAAAATAGAAGCATGTTTCTTTCCTGTGATTTATTTATTTTAAACAAATTTATTGAGCTGTGATCCTAAACTCACTCATTTGAAAGGTTCTGTTAGGTATGTTTTAGTATATTCATCACATATTTTCCATTTTTCCCCCAAAGAGGATTGTTTTTCCTTCTTTGAATTGTGGAGCCAATAACAAGACTGAGCACCAGTTGAGCAGGGAAGAAAAAACTTTTCTTGACCAATATGTAAGAAGTGGGGAGCAGGCATGCATATGAACCTTTGAACCTCTGGAAATCAGGGGATTGTAGATATGGAGGAAAAGATGTAGGGGATGAATAGGCTTTTGTTTTTGTTTTTATTTTCTTCCTCAGTACTGGGGATTGAATGTAGAGTCCTGTTCATTCTAGGCTTCACCACAGAGATGTATCTCCATTTTATACTTTTTTTTTTTTTTTTGAGACACAGTCTCAACTATGTATCCCAGGCTGGCCTTTCACTCACTTTGAAGTTTGAGCATCATGAGTAGTTATGCACCCACCAGGCCTGGATGAGGGCTAAGCTCATAAATGGGAGGAATATCCATGTCTTCTCTGGGAATAAATGGAGGTTTTATTTCTCTTACCGTCGTTTATTTCAGGCATCTCTTGTAGGATGCCGACTGCCACAGCGCTAGAGTGGTTCACTGAGCATGCAGGTGGCTTTAAGAAGAAGTTAGAAATTGTCTGGTAGTCCTTCACCCATCTCAGAGCTGAACAGTGAAGAGGGAATTCTAGCCCTGTCTTGTCCTCAGAGACAAGGTTCAAGTGAGGTAGAAAATTCAGGTAGTTCATCTGGGGGGACTCAGGTGACATAAGTGTCACCACACTCAATGTAGAGCACTTCACCTATCAGTAATGACGTAGTAACAGATTTATCTTATATTTGCAGGGAGAAAAGATTCATTCTAACACACTTCAGAGGTTTCAACCCTCATCCTCAGTTTTGCTGATTTGGGGCTGGTGTAAGGCACAACCACCCAACAAGACAGGAGGAACCTGTGGCAGAGGCTTCTTCCATCTTGGAAGCAGGGAAAAGGGACCCGGGCACCACGCACAATCTTGAAAGACATGTCCTTAATGACCTACTCCTCAGCCAGGCTCCACTTCCCAAAGTGTCTCCCCCATAGTGACAAGCATTTAGTACATGAGCCTGATGGCATTACACATTCAAAACACAGCATTCCCCTCTTTGCCCCCAAAGGCTCATGGGCATCTCATAATGCAAAACACATGAGTTCATGTTCAGTGGTCTCCGAAGTTCCTGTCTATGAGTCTCTTCGCAGTTCTAACACTGTCCAAATTCAAAGCTGCCTCTATAGTATGCACCCATAATCCCAGCACCTGTGAGACGGAGGCAGGAAGATCCCAAGTTCAAGGCCAGCAAGGATACACAGTGAGACTTAGGCACAAAAGAAACATAGAATACTTTTTAAAAATTCAAGGAAAAATGAACTCTTAGTTGCAAACACCTATAAAATAAAATACAAATTAGATACTTTAAATATGTAATGGCATGGAATGAACATTTACGTCATAGAAAGGAGTGGGATATAAGAAGGGGTTGGGGTTAAAACATGACCTAAAGCAGTGGGACAGATGTTAAATAGTGTGTAAGGTGAGTCCCTGAGGTCTTAGTCAGCCCTGTTATTTGTAACCTACATGGCTTCTCTTGGGCTGGCTCTGTTCACAACATGCAGGTTTTCTTGGCAAATGCATGGTTTTCCTAGCATCTCTGTCTTGGGATTGCCATTATCTTTTCAGCCTTTCCCTCCCA